CATTTTCTCACGTCACACATAGCATCATTTTTAATTTTTACGGCTGCTACGTCACGTTCGTCGATTCACTGATAACGTTCGTACTGGGTGTATGTTGGCTATTGGTACCCACAGAAAACCTAAATGGTTAGTGGCTTATCAACTTCCTGTCAGTTTTGAGACAAACACAAATTTATTTTTGTGTCTGCAGTGTGCTCGTCGGATTGTCTCTGCCACTTGTATAGAATTACTTCGATCTAATTGCGTAATATAGGCCTGTGTTCAATTGTGAACATGAGAAGGTCAATGATGATGATGATGATGATGAATTGCTTTAGTGATAACAACTATGGAATAAAATATAAACCATTTATTTTTTCGACAAGAAAATTTTCGCTTATCAAACGTTATTTCTTTTCAAAATGAGGTTCTCTTGATTGCAGAAGAACTCGTCTGTGATCTGCAACTGCAGTTATTGTAATAATTTTAGTTGTTCTCAGAAAGATGCTGCTGCCTATCTACTGTTTCACTTTCCCTCTGTCGCTTTTTTACAACACTCACGGATGATATGAGGTTGTGAATTCTCTTCGCCTTTTCAATAAGTCTATTTTTATGTTATGTTGTGTATATTATAAATTAATTAAAATCTATCTAAATTCAAATCATATCTACCCTACTTTACGAATACGAACGTCAATAAAAACAATACATTTAGTAGGCATCTTTGACCTTGTCACTTCGCAAGGTCACAGGCTCAAGGACATAGGGCAAAGTAATTGTTAAAAAATTCTTTAAACGTTTAATTCAACATTTTAGTTTTTATTTTTCGTAAAATATCAGTGTCGTAGGCTTCTGCTCCGTTCACATGCTACACCGTATTTTTTCCAGACGGTAAAAAAGGTCATCCAGTATAATTCAGTGGTGAAATGTAAATGGGGTCCCCCATTTACATTTTCAAGTAAAATATTCTCCCGTAAGAATGGGAAAATATGGGATGAAGTTTCTAATGTAAGACGACATTTTAGTTGTATTACCTTAAACCTCTGGTTAATAAAGACTAAAAAATCGGAACCCGACTTCGAAACTAAAAATAATAAAATAATTTACACATAACAGCTTCAAGAAGAATCAAGCTCCGACTTCAGATACTATTATGTGCAAATTATTATATTCTTTTTAGATTTTTGAGTCGGTTTTTAATTTTTCTTTATTTTTTGCTTACTTTACAATATGTGACTATAGTTGCCAGTGTCATATGTCATACTTTAGCGGTGTCTGCTCGTTTCATCCAATAATAACAAACAAGCCAATTGAAAATCACGCAGTTCGTCACGGTCACTGCTGTTTTGATACCAACTAATTAGTGAACTCTTATGTAATTTAGATTTGTTATATTACCTACTAGTTGCTATTTCTTTAAGTTTAGACATTTCTTCGTTTTGATCAATATAAATAAAGTGTAATTATTATAAATTGTGTGTATTATAATTTACTTTATCACGTTTTTATTAAGGCGAATAGTAGAATAGTATCGTGGTCACGAGTGAGGAGCGGCCATATGCTCCTTCCTGTTTGGCCGGCCCGCGCGCAATTTAATTGCACGATATTTATTTGATATTTCTTTTCAAAATGAAATATACCTTTTTATTTGAAAATAAACCCATAATTCGCTTATGTGTTTACTGATTGAGCACACATAGAGAGAATTTAATCTAAATTGCTTTAATTACATTCGAATGAAACTGCTTTTCTCAACGCCATTTTAGGCCATACCGAGGTTCTTGGGCACACAAAAATTTTAGGGCCCTGTTATAAAGTAAAAACAAGTGAATGACAAAAACATTTCTCTGTTATGATCTTATATTTATTTTAGTTAATTGGTCAAAATCAAATAATAGGTGTGTCATTAATGATGGGCACCCACGACTTGGCCACCTGGATGGATGGCGCCACTTTACAATGAGGTAAAATATTTGTTTTGACAGATTTCAATACGGGGACTATAATTTCTACGGAAAATGTAAACTTTAATGTTTCTTTCCTAAACTTTCTTTCAAAAAAGGAAAATATTCTATTACAACATCAATTTGGCTTCACTTATCTAAAAATAAGGATCGTAACAATTATTTGCTATAATATCTAATATTTGGGGTTGAAAATTCTCGTATAAAATATATCATTTGCCGTGAAATCTTCTGAAGTGTTATTTTTATTAAACAATACGAAAATATGTTTTTATATCATAGATTATAAACACCGAAAATTTAAAGAAAAACCAGGCTATAAGTAAGGCGACTGTACAGTCCGACAAAAACGAATAGATGGCGAAATGCGGAACTTCATATTTTCTACCTAGGAAATCTGTCAGTGCCACTTTTCCGGTAATATGTGGCTTGTCACTGCTCAGAGTTGCCAGAAAGTCACTAACAACGCCCTCATTTTTACTCTATAATTTTTTTGTCGGGTTATGTTTTCCTAAAATAGAAAAAAGATCGTATAGCGTAAGCAAATAAGGCCGATGCCAATAGTCACGGGGCCCCCGTGATGATAGCGAGCACGGGCCCCATGTAATGGACGTACCTAAAATTGTAGATTTTGAGGAAACTGCGATCTTTTTGCATCGAGCCAAAATGTGTTAATCGTGTTTTGGCCATCATAATTCACTAACGAAAATCTTTAAATTTCATATTGATTTAAAAAAGGTGAGTACCTATGTAGTTTTTAATAATAAAACATTAATTTTCTGCGCACCTATAAAGCGTGCAATATCTGTTTTTTTTTAAATGAGCTATGAGCATAATGTAAATAAAACTTAATGTAGAATAAATTAAAAAATAAATTGTTGGTATTTTGTTAAATAGATTTAAATTTAAAAATAAAGTAAATATTTAAAATGAATTTCTGTATTAAAATACACATTAATTACTATATAATACTGAGATATTGATGAAAAGGAATTTAAATTATAACTGCCTTCTACGTTTTATACCACATATCCCTATATGTAAGTAACAATACTTAATCATTTTAATTTTTTGTTCAATTTAAATAAACTGAAGTTGGTACTAAGTGTTACTTTTCTTTGTATATAGTTTGTGAATTTAATTGTAAAAACAACACAAATACCTAGGCTGCACTAAAAGTATCGGGAATGGAATATTTCCACTGTTCCTGTCATATTAAAATCTTTTTAATTGAAAACTCTTTGGTTTTAAAAATCGAATACCATTTATTTATTTAAAAAAAAGATTCTCGGTCTTGTCACAAGGTTTTGTCAAACTTGTTTAGTCGTTGAGAAAATGGAATTGACTCGAGAAAATTCAAGAGCGATGATTTATTATGACTTTCGAAGTGGTTTAACACAAAAACAGTGTGTCGACCGGATGATTTCTGCATTTGGTGATGAAGCCCAATCCAAAGCCACAATTCATCGCTGATTTGCTGAATTTCAACGTGGACGTGTCAAGCTCAGTGATGATCCCCGTCAAGGTCGTCCAAAAACTGCAGTCACGCAAGAAAACGTTGATGCTGTGCGTAAGCTGATTGAGGAAGATCGACATGTGACATACCGCGAAATTCAGGCAACTTTAGACATTGGCATGAGTCAAATACAAATAATCTTGCATGAACAATTAGGTGTAAAAAAGTTGTTTTCCCGATGGATACCGCATTCGCTGTGTGAAGAGCAAAAAGCGGCTCGCGTTACTTGGTGCCTCAGAACTCTCGAAAGATTCCATGCAGGATCCTCAAATGCTGTATACAACATCGTATCAGGTGATGAATCCTGGATATACGCGTACGAACCCGAAACAAAAAACCAGTCACGAGTTTGGGTATTCGAAAATGAGTTAAAGCCAACAAAAATTGTTCGTTCACGGAGTGTTGCAAAAAAAATAGTGGCCACGTTTGTCTCCAAAACCGGCCATGTTACGACTATTCCTCTTGTGTGACAAAGAACGGGTAATGCAGAATGGTATGCTAGCATTTGTTTGCCACAGGTCGTTTCTGAACTCCGTAAAGAGAACTGCAACCGCCGCATCATCCTCCATCACGACAATGCAAGTTCTCACACTGCACACAGAACAAAAGAGTCAAGAAAACATAGAATTATTAGACCATCCGCCGTACAGCCCCGACCCTAATCCCTAATGATTTCTATACTTTCCCTAAAATAAAAAATAAATTGTGTGGACAGAGATTTTCATCACCTGAAGAAGCTTCCGAATGGAATGGTTGCCTCAATGACTGGTTCCATCGTATGGAAAAATGTGTCAAATGTCGCGGAGAATACTTCGAAAAGCAATAAATACATTTTTAAATAGTAATGTTGTGTCACTTCCGTGATTCCCGAAATTTTCAATGCCGCCCTCGTAATCGATAAAATAATTTTTCTCTTTTAAAATTACACCTTTTTTTAGATCTTAATTTCAGTTTTTTTTAATAGAATAATAGTGACAAACGAGCACACAGTCCACCTGGTGATAAGTGTATGCTGTGGCCCATAGACATCCATATTTTATCATCGATTAAGAATCAAGTTGCAGATGCTTTGTCACCAGGACTAAGATGGAATGCCTCGTTTCCAGTAAAAAATGGTCTCCGGATCTCTACAGCGCAACTACATTTGAATTCGACATTTAGGATGAAAATAGTATCATCAGGTCGATGTAAGCTTGAATAATTTTCGATACTATTTATTTATTTATTCCTGGGAAACCAGTAGTATAGACATTATTACATTTTTATGAAAGTAGGCTTATGTAATCTAGGGACCGATGTGTGCACCATTATAGGTATTTTTAATTATTAGTAAGAAGGTATTCATTATGTTGTATTTCATCTGTGCTTGTTTTATTTTATTATACCTACTAATAAACAAAGAAACTTTATGATTACTTACCGACATTGAATGGTAAAATTAAACGCGACAAAATCCGTAAAATTAGGTTTATTCAATGTAAATTATTCGTCTAAATACAAGAAATCTTTATGCTTACCGAAGTTTTACCGTTTTATTTCAGAACACGTATGGCAAGTGAACGTACAGAAGAAAGGCCTAGGCGCGTCAAAGAACATCCAGGGTCTGTACAACCTTTGTCTTACGGACAAGACCCTAACTCTAGTCAAGATTAAAAGCCACAACAATATCATCAGCGATCTTGGCATACCGGAGCGGGTGGAGTACTCCTTGAAAAATATCAGAAGGTCAGTTTACTGGGTTACTAGGGAAAGTAAATTAGCACCCTCTATTCCCTCACTCTCAAGGCTCGATGGGACGACAATCCGAAGCGATCGGAGAGAAATCAGACACAGGACTTATGGCTTTATACGTGCTGTCCAAGGCATGGGGTTGACACCGCCTATTACCCGACTACTAAAACAGAAAAACTCAATAACTTTTTGGCCCGATCTGGGGTGTGAACTCGGAATCTCATTGTTAGGTGTCGCTTTTATAACCACTAGACCGACGAGGAACACAATTATTAAGTATAATAATGCTGTAAAAACGACCGCTCGATGGAAGAAACTAGTAAATCGATATGGACTGAATCGACTATGTGCAACAACCCCTCAACCAAAAAGTTTAATCGTCACAAACATACAAACCGACGTTCAATCGATTTTACAATTATTTTATGTATTCGGTAGGTCTAAATCTAGGCAGTGTTGTAGGTATTTCAAAATTCCAATGTCCATCCTTTGTACACTACCCATATCAATATCCACCACACAAGCAGCATGCCTCTTCAAATTCCGTCGTGTTTTATCCCCTCACAGTATCTTTCAAACTTTTAATGATTTCTGTTTAGTATTCTACTATTATGGAAACATCTTTTTCTTTATAATCAATGGAAATGACTCTTTCTTAATCCTAAAAAACTTTGTTCATGAGTTTTCCATTCAATTGGGACACCGGGGAGCCTTTTCACTGAGTCTTACTTAGACTCAAACACATAATTATGAACTCAAGGTTCACCTTCAGCAACAATTTGACCCAAAGCATGTTTCTCTCTTCCACCTTCTCTATCCAGGAGTCCATCTGGGTAGCTAACAATCCTCTTGCCGATTTCTGGCCCCAGATAACAGTGCCTGCACTGCTGTGTTGCGGTCTCAGGCTATAGAGAGCCAGTATAATTACAGGCTGTGAGGCATTCCATTTTAGTCCTTAGGGGTAACCATGCATCTGCATTTTGTTTCTTATTCGAGAATAAATGTAGATGTCTATGGGCCACGGTATCCACTTACCATCAAATGGACTGTGTGCTTGTGACAAACAATATTAACCTTATTCTATAAAAAAGCCGAACTAAGTACGTACTTGGTAAAAATATGAGCTAGTTGTCCATGGAGGTAGGACTTCGTTTCTCTCTAGGAGACCGTCTGTGTATGAACCGCCCTGTTACCTATTTCTGCTGCCAAATATAAGTGCTTGCACTGCAGTGTTCTGATCTGAAGGGTATACCATTACCAGAACCAGTATAATTACATGCTGTGAGGCATTCCATCTTACTCTTCTAATGTAACAACCATAGACTTATTATACTACTGCGTATGGATGGGGTCATTGAACAAACAAAGTGGCACTGACTCCTTGGTGCGTAAATGTTTATGGAGCACCAATGCGTGCCGCGCGTCCATGCAGTGTTTTCTTCACTTTTACACATTTTGCACTATTTTAGAACAAATCTACGAATATAGGTAGGGCTTTAGGCGTTTCTTCAAGTTGACAGGGTTCTGGATAATTTGGGGTAAAATCGAACTTCAGGTAACCCTTTTTTATACCTACCCAATGTAATTTTTTTTAAAAGTTTTATCAATGGGAATATGGTCAAAAGAGCTGGAAAAGTGTAGAATGAAAAAGTTTTTCATTCTCTATATCGGAATAATGGCATATTTTATTTAAATACATATTCGTTATTCCCCTTTACCCTTTTTACTGGAAATGAGGCATTCCATTTCAGTCCTTCAGGGGTGACAATGCATCTACATTTTGATTCCTAATTGAAGATAAATGTGTCTATGGGCCACAGCAATCCACTTACCATCAGGTGGACTTTGTGCATTTCACCACCCTTAATTCACCACCCTTATTCTATAAAAAAAATCATTTGAGGCTATCCTCATCATAAAACTCGAGATTTTTAATCGTGAAATGATATTCAAATCTTGCAATGATGTTGTTCTTTAAAATATTGAAAATAAGGTGCAATAAATAAGGCAATTTTGATTTTTTCTACGATAATCATAAGTTGGTAAAACCAAAATCATAAGTTGAAACTTTAGTTTTGTGATAGTTCATGAGTATATAAGAAATGGCGCTGATTTATTCTATGCTTTAATCGTGAAAAAATTTTGTGCGCACGAGCAGATCTGGTCATTTATATCGATGGTAACAACACAACACTACGTTGCCTCTGATTGAACTTGGCTAAGTACAGCATGGGTACAGTGCATAGATATAATAATGAATGAGATATGCCCAGTAGTTGAAAATGTATCGGAACCCGGTGTCTCCAGTTGGCCCCTACCACGCGTCAACTACTACACAAACAGATCAGTAAAAGCAATAGATACGCAGTCACGCATATACTCACATTTAATAAATCATAACGTACTACACAATTAATTATAAACCATATCTCTAAAACCGGAACGTCCATTTACCATTCATTGTACTACTTACTCACACAAAAATATCGGACACTATCGTTGTGCTGTAAAAATCCATTTATTTTACATATACGTTAGTGATTGACTAAATTGGAAAGTTATCGATTGTTTCATTTAAACCAAAATTGTACAAAAAATTTTTGGGTTAGGCTATCATAGCGGATTGGAATTTTGGAACCATGCTGTGGTGCTTACTCACTGACCTGTAAAGTGACCTTCACTTTACAGGTCAGTGAGTTGAGTGATTTGTGCAGCACTTGACGTTTTTATATTTTGGGGTGGCATTTTCGTCAAATAGTGTAATATTAAATTAATGTATTTTTCCATGACTGCTTTTATAAGAAATATAATGTAATTATTCATCGGGGACTGCTCAAATTGGTGAAACTTAACATTAAAAAAAATAAATTTGACAAAGCCTTGAGTCCATGAGTTCCTGTTTGACATTTTTTGTTTTAATTGCTTATTTATCATTGGCGTGGCAAGCTGTTTTTATGATAATTTTCATTCGCATACAAATTATGACGACCCGTACTAGTTTTTGTAGGGAACGAAGTCAGGTAGCCTTTCAGTGGCATCAGTCCATTCCTTTTTTAAATTAGCATCATTTGGCAAGCCGAAAGGTACGTTTTATAACCTATTTATTATTATCATATATCCTCAGCTACTTTTTAACCTCACTGTGTACTAAGCAGGTTTTGCTTGGCGATCTTTTGTTATAAAAACTCCTGGTTAGTGATAATATTGTTAAATATATGAAAAAAAAAATACACACATGTCTAACAATTAAATAGCAAGAATAATTATATTGAATAATTTTAAGCCAAAGTCACTATATAACCATGCCGGTTAGGTATTTATGATACATTCGAAGCTTTTGAAAACTGTAAATTATATTAAACCCCAAAACCATAAAAATTTTCAAAGATAAGGCATAATATACGATATATAAGAACACTCAATCGATTATTAACGTAAAAAATAATCAACTTACTTTACGACCTTTGGTTACGCATTCAGAGTAGTAGTTGATGTAAAATAAGTAAAAAACTTTATGTCACATCGGTCTTCCTATCGGGGGAATGAAACAGTTGACAAATTGGAGAATAAACTATAATAGCAATTCGCCAATCCACATTATTGTCGATAGTGGATCTGCACACGCACATTACTAGCTCGTCACAAGATACACCGGCCGTACTATGCAATATATCCGCATAAATAAAGTATTGTTTTGTGATATTTACATTGCTTGTTGAGTCACTTGGCGTCATATTTAGGTAGTGGTTAAGGAGCAATGTATTTACTGCAAAATATTACAGTGGCTGTGATATTTAGAAACAAATCTAACGTAGTAAGAGAAAGAAATATTTTACGATTTGTTGTTTAATATGATTTTAAAGATAAATTTAATGAAATACTTGTACTTAGGTATTGTATGTGATTCCATGATTAACAAAGTTTTTGTTTTGGCTTCGGTTTTTACAAGAAACCACTGAACAACATGGCATTCTGATAATATTTCACGATTACGGTCGCAAGCGCACTAATCCGCAGAGACGGCCATTTGTATAGAAGCTGAGCATTTTGATCATAGCGCGCGGACACAGACACGCCCCCTTGCCACTTCTCCTGTTTTTAATATTTCTATGGTACAGTGGCTACTTACCATCAGGTTGGCTGTAGGTTTGTTTGGCACTTAAGTTTGATATAAAAAGTTATCATCATCATCATCATCATCACAGCCCTTCACAAGTCCACTGCTGAACATAGGCCTCCCCCAAGTAATGCCACAAAGCACGGTCCTGAGCCACCTGCATCCATCGACTTCCTGCATATCTTACCAGGTCGTCACTCCATCTAGTGGGGGGTCGCCCTACACTACGCCTACCGGTACGAGGCTGCCACTCGAGAACCTCTTCCCCATCGGTTATCGGTTCTTCGAGCTATATGGCCGGCCCATTGCCACTTCAGCTTACTAATCCGTTGGGCTATGTCGGTCACTCTGGTTTTACTGCGGATATCCTCATTTCTGAGTCCATTACGCAGAGAAACTCCGAGCATAGCCCTCTCCGTAGCTCGCTGAGCGACCTTGAGCGTCCTCATACGGCCAGCAGTGAAGGACCACGTCTCTGATCCGTAAGTCATCACTGGCAACACGCACTGGTTGTACACTTAAGTTTTCAGAGATTGAGGTATACCTGACGAGAAGATGTGTCGTAATTTCCCGAACGCTGCCCAGCCGAGTTGAATCCGTCGATTGACCTCTCGGTCGAAGTTGGACTTACCTAGTCGGACTATTTGTCCCAGGTAAACGTACTCGTCAACAACTTCGAGCATAGTGCTCCCAACAACTACCGGCATAGGTGTGACATGGACATTAAACATGATCTTTGTTTTGTCCATGTTCATCTTAAGACATATCCGTTGGGAGGCACTATTGAGGTCATTGAGCATAGTGCTTAAGTCCTCCAGCGATTCTGCCATAAGGACTATATCGTCGGCAAATCGAAGGTGAGTGATGTACTCGCCATTGATGTTAATACCGTATCCTTTCCAGTCCAGTAGCTTGAAAACGTCTTCCAAAGCAGCGGTGAAGAGTTTCGGGGATATAACATCAACCTGTCTTACACTTCTCTGCAGTTGGATAGGTTTCGAGCTCTGGTTCTGTACTCGGATAGCCATCGTAGCCCTACTGTACAAACACTTCAGCACTTCGATATACCGACAGTCAACTTGGCACCGCTGAAGGGACTGCAGCACCGCCCAAATTTCGACGGAATCAAAGGCTTTCTCATAGTCCACATACGCCAGGCAAAGTGGCAAATTGTACTCTTCAGTCTTCTGTACAATCTGCCGCAGGGTATGTATGTGGTCTATGGTACTGAAGCCTTTTCGGAAACCGGCTTGTTCGGGAGGCTGGAAGTCGTCGAGTCTGCGTGCGAGACGATTCGTAATGACTCTCGAAAACAGCACGTAGACGCGGCTCAGAAGGGAAATCGGTCTGTAGTTCTTCAAGAGAGCGTTGTCGCCTTTCTTAAAGAACAAGACCACCGCACTTCTGCTCCACGCCTCTGGAGTAGTGCCACCATGGAGGACGGAATTGAAGACTTCTGAAGGACTTCAAGTACCGGTGTTCCACCCGCTTTCAGAAGCTCCGCTGTAATTCCATCCTCGCCTGGGGCCCTGCCGTTTTTAAGGTGCTGGAGAGCCATTCTAATCTCGCTTAGACTAACGTCCGGGATATCATCGGAATAGTGTCGGATAAGACTTGCTCTTGGATCGTTACTCACACTTGCGTGTGGCTCCAACGATGATGTGTACAGCTGCCCATAGAACCTCTCAATCTCACTCAAAATCTCAGGTGTCCCGGAAACGATGCTGCCACACTCAGTCTTCAGCCTTGACAGTTGGCTCTTACGGGCAGACAGATCTCTGGCAAAGACTTTGGAGCCCTGGTTCCGCTCGACCGCTTCTTTAATACGAGAAGTATTAAAGTTGCGTAAGTCTCGCCGTATGCATTTGGAGATCTGTCTGTTCAGTTGCCTGTATGCTGTCAAATCTGTTGACGATTGCAGCCTCATCTCCCGTCTAACAGCCATGAGATTAAGAGTGTGATCGGAGAGTTTTTGTGTTCTTCTGCGGTGGGTCTTGCAGAACTTAGCTCCTACCGCATGGACAGTTTCCACGAGCTTGTCATTCACGTCGTCCACTGCATTGCAATCTTGTAGGCACTGAAAGCGGTTGTGTAACTCGAGCTGAAAGTTTTCGGGATTCTGGATTAGAGCACGAGGGGGGACGGAGCGTTGACTTCATTAGACGAGACCTCTCCAACTTAACGTTTAGGTTCAGTGTGCCTCTAACCATTCGGTGATCGCTGCCAGTTTTCACCCTTGCGATCACTGAGACATCACTGAACAGTTGGCGTCTTCCCACTTCCTGTGGGGCCGCTTCTGGAAGAAAGAGTTCATCATAAAGAGTCCCTCTTTCTCCATAAAGTCGGCCAGCTGCTGGCCCCTTCGGTTCCGTTGCCCTACTCCAAATTTCCCCACCTTCAGCTCACCGCTTTCTCTTGTGCCTAGTTTTGCGTTGAAGTCTCCCATCAACACCGTGTAGTGGGTTTTGGAGGAATGCATGGCTTTGGAAATATCCTCATACATTTCCTCTACCTCCTCATCGGGATGTGCCGAGGTTGGTGCGTAAACCTGTATGACCTTCAGCGAATACCGTTTGGTGATTCTGAGTATCAGGTACGCGACCCTCGTCGACACACTCCCAATCTTTACAACGTTGTTGACGAGAGACTTGTGGACGATAAATCCGACACCTCCTTGGGACAGATGGTCGCCCTCCCGGTGATAGAACAAGTTGCCGGATTCGAGAATCACCGTGTCCTCCCCCTCTCTTCGGACCTCAGATAATCCAATAATATGCCAGCGCAACTTGTCTATCTCTTCTTCCAGCTCCAGGATCTTCTCGTCAGTCCTCAGAGTGCGTGCGTTAAATGTTGCCAGGTCGAGTCGTCGTAGGTGGCAACCGAACCTCCACCGGAGATTCTTAGCACCCCCTGCCCCGCCGTTACCATGGTCGCCACCGTAGCCAGGAATAGCGGGGCCGCCGGGGACTGGGGGCCGTCTATTTGTGTAATTGTTCATGGGGGGTATATTGCCATAGTTGTCACGCTTGGCGAGCGGGTTGGCAACCGCAGTTTTTTTTTGTCGTACAGTTGCTGTTATCAGGAAGATGCTGCTGCCCATCTCCTGCCTGTCTCCCTCTGTCGCCTTTTACGACACCCACGGGAAGATATGGGGTAGTGGATATTCTTAACCGCCACTACACGGCAAAAAGTTATGCATATTTGAAATTAATTTTTACGGAATTTTTCACGTATATTAACTAATTTTATATACATGGGGGGAGGGAACTGGGGTGTTCGACATCCCTATGAAAAGTTAACCATAACCAAAAGTTAAAGAAAACATTAATCATAGGATCATAAGCAGTGATAAATCCCTAAAACTAGTTTTATTTCAATGTGTGGTGTTTACATAATCATAAGAAATTATGTGTCATTGAATAACCAAACACGCAAATATCCTTACAGATTTTTACTTATAATATTGTTACGAGCTTAGGGTTCGTGACAATAAAAACTGCCGATTGAATTACCAAAATTGACACTTTGACACCGAACACCAATTAAAACAAATACACACTTTAGTTCACTTAATTTCGCTCCTAAGTCTTCACTTATCCTACCCCTCCTCTTTAATTATGACTTGCAACAATATTTTTAGTACATTTTGGCGTAAATATAAGAAATAATTATACGAAAAAAAAATCATGTATTTCGCAGATGCGGTGATTCAGAGTGCTTCTTCTATATGGAGGTGGGGCGTCAGACAGCGACGGGTGCAGGAGAGCTGTGGATGCACTCCGATGACTCGAACATCGCGCAGAGCATGCACTCCACGATATACCAGTGAATCCACCTTACTTTTATATGTGGTAGAACAGTCCTGCAGCAATATTATGGTTGTAGCATGAAAGGGTTGGCTCGACCAGGGAAAAACATAGATTTTTATATGATATTGTTTATGCTAGATGTGATACCTGGAGGGAGGGGAGCAGTCTGCGGTGAGAAATGTTGATGTATTTGCAATCTAGACCTAGTACTGCCAATTAAAGCGAGATGGTAAATACATGGTAGAGCCATGCTGCAGCTATATTATGGTTGTAGTTGGCTCGACTGGGGGAGGACCACACTCTCACAGAATACCAACATGTAACAGCAGCTTAATGCTTGCTGTATTTCGTATGGTGAGTGTAGAGAACCTAGACCTCAGGGGTGACAACACTTCTGCATTTTGATTCTTAGCTGAAGATAGATGTAGATTGCAGATGTCTATGGGTCACAGCATTCACTTACCATCAGGTGGACTGTGTGCTTGTTTGTTACCAAGAGTCTATCAAAAAAATCTACATTTCACTAGTGTTAAATTTACTTCAGCTTCTTTTAAATATTTTACAAACCACTGTGTATCATAGTAACATATACATTCGTAGCTGAGGAAACACTTCTGATGTCTTAATTAAGTATCAAGAAGATGTACCCATTTCGCCCTTATCCTATTTCAGTTTCCCTCTGTAACCTCTTTATGACACCCATGGGACATTATGGGGTAATGATTATCCTTACACCGCCACTACATGGTAAATGGTTTATGTAACACTAGGTCACTATAGAATATGTTTCTAAAATAATACCATGGTATTATTCTAATTTTTTTTATTTTGAAAGTAATCTTGCTGGTAGTCTTGCTCTTTCTTCCCAGGACTGAGTTATTTTCCAAATCAGTAATAAATGCAAAAGTTTGCTTTTAATAAGCATAATGAAAAAATCTTTGTACAATTAAATGTTGTATTATTTTCTATTCCAGTCACCATCAGATCACTGCTTGTTTGTGTGTTGTACATAAAATTGAAAAGTAGAACAAACTTCTAAAGTTATGTTAATAACTTCGTTTTATTTTCAGTGCAATGAGAAACTGTGCAAAAGAGTCTGAAAACGAAAGGGATCACATAATTTTGGGCAAAACTTCACTACTAGACGGAACAAACCCACTACCTGCTAGGCGGCAAACCTACTCCGATGGACGAGGCCGAGCCGGGTTATACAACGGTAAGTAGATTTTCAGCTCTAATACTTTGTATTAGGTATTAAATTGTTTTAGATTTAAGATACTAATCCGATAAATAATATATAATACTTCAAGAAGATAACACACTGTTGTTACATATTATGCGGATTGTAATTGTTTTACTTAAATATATTTACACTAGAGTAATTAAAAGCTGCAGGTGATTTTACGAAGTATATTCTCCTGCTAGTATAGGTAACTACAACGTCAGGACATGGTATAGCTCATCCCTCTGTGATTTGGATGCTAGAAAGCACTCAGATATGTGAGCTAACGTTAAAATTGTATGTGATAGAATCCGTTTTAGTTTCATTTATTTCAGTATGTTACATTAATAACTTATGTCGATTAGATTAGTATTAGATATTATTAGTATGAGCCGCGGTAGCTTAGGAGTTTAGCACTCGCTGGAAATTTCACAGTATCTTCAGCGACACCAATTAAATTGTTAATTGCAATTTTAAGTTCTGATTTACCACATGCTCGTCGGTGAAGGAAAACATCGTGAAGAAACCTGCATGTCTAAGAAATTAAAAAGATATTTCAAAGACACGTGAAGTCCGCCAACACGCATTGCGGCAGCGTGGCGGACGCTTCCTTGCCCTAAAACCCGCTCAGAAGAGCGAGGAGGTCTGTGCCCAGCTGTGGGACGCATATAGGCTGTAACATTACTGTGATTAATAAGTTACATCAATAACTTATGTCGTGAGCAGTAATAACGTGTTAGTGACATCTTTCATTAAATTCAATATTTCTATATACTATACACTACTAATTATTTTGCGAATTTTTTATGTTATACATTATATTGGAGCAAGTCCATCTTTAAATATATTTTCTGCGTATTAAAGAAATATCTATGTAGAATAGTATCTCGAAACCTGTTTATCCACATCAATTACATATCACGTTATTTTTAAGTCTTTATTTAGTTGTAATATCTTTTACACTTTATAATCTTGTAGCCACATGCACCACTGTAACATGTCTGCTCCCACCGCCATGAAGTAAATAGAAGAATATTAACCTTGTGTTATTGTGATATAGTTCGCAAGTAAAGCGTATATGACGTTTTTCAATGTGATTTTTTCTAATATTATTACAGCATTTTGTGCTAATATGCTTTAGCTCTGAATTGTGCGACCTATATCGAATTTAACTTAACCGGTCCGACCTCATTGATGTTATATAAATATAAAACCTGTTTGGAATAAATTTAACAGAACTAAAATATAGTAAAAACTATATTACAGTCTACATACTACTAACATACTATATTACAGGAGATATATTGCAATATAGTATGTAAGTTGGTCTATATATAATATAGTATCTTGGGGTCGGAACGGTGCTTTTTTTAATACTTACTAACCATATTTGTTGGGGTTGTAACGAATGGTAAAAATCGCTTTAAAAGAGTAAAATATATCACTAAAATTATAATTTATTATCTGTATATAGTAGTATTTGTGAAATTTACGTATTCGTTGCAATTTTAATTTTAGTAGATTAGAATTTGTCTTCGTAGTTTAGAATTAGTGCAATAATTGGTCACGGTATTTTTCATTTTATCTTTCCTATAGGAGTATCGTAGAAAAGGGAATACTATATGAATCAAAAATCGATTTTGATTGTGTGTACACAAAAGCTATATTGGCTTGAATCGATTGTAGACAACGATAACGATTACGATTGTACCAATCAAAGTTCAACCCTAAATGTATGTGAGTAAGAGCTACATTGGCTCAAATCTATTGCAGACAAAGGCCTGTGCGTTGGGTCGTGTATAAGACAGTGCGTCTGTCCAACAGCCACGTACTCCATTGACGACTCGGCGGCGGCCATCGCGCCCTTGACGCCTAGAAATGGTACGAAATCACTTAAATGGAATCGCTAAAGCGATTAGCTGTGACAGGGTGACTCTGCGGTCCCTAATCGTTTGTGCTGGCGATTTAACATCACCTTGTAGCTTCACCACCTTTGACACGTTTCTCTGTATTTGCCTCATAAAGTCTCGGTAATAAAGATCTTTAAACAATGGTTATTATTCTAACGTTGTATTAACTTTTACTAACGCGTTTTTAAACAATATATATCATAAAAGATCATTAATTAGGCCAAGCATGAATTTGCTGTTCGTTATGAATATTTCGCGTATTATGCATAAGACAGAAATCTAGTTAAAGTTTGTTTATAGTAGAAGTTGCTATTTTACTAACTGGAACTCTTACATAGTACTCTCTCTTTTCCTCTATTCTTTTATTTACCACGTCGTGTATGTTTGTGTCGAATTTTCTAATTGATTTTAAACTTATTTCCCCTAAAGTTTGGACATAGCTTAGAATTGGATGGCAATGTAAGAATGTGACAAAAACGTGTGATGTTATATAATTTTTTTAACACACAACTTAAAAATAATCATTTGTTTAATTTTATTGTCAGCCAATGTTTAAGTGTAGGAGCACATTCCTGTTTTCGTGTGTACACTTGTATGCACGTTTATGTGCGTGCGTTTGCGTGCTTGCGTACAATTCATGCGTGCGTATCGTAAAACTTACAATTTATCGATAGTCAAATGGAGAAATTTTATTATTTTAATTTTAAGTTAAATATATACCTACAATTATAAGCTACAAGGTAACGTTGAACTGCTTTCTCTGTTCGGTGCGGATTGTTGATTGTCTTAAAAAACCTATTTAAAAAGGGTTGTTATTTTCATGTTACTTATATGTGGTAGAGAAGCCACGGTAACGTTGTAATTCAAATAATATGGATGGATAATATTTTGGGTATAGTATAATAATGATGCGGATCATATTTCAGCTTAATAATATGCTTGTTTGATATTTCATTGCATCTTCGCGGAATATAAGGTATTCTGTAGTCTGACTTGACTGAATAATAAAAAAAATGTGAATGGTATGCATTAATAAATACCAAAGAATTTATATCATCTGTACATTTTTCAAATTTCAATTTCAAAATGTATAACAAATTCTTTTTTTAAACAGCAACAGCGTTTAGCATAATAGCATAAACACTCACGCCTGTCACCCAGAGGAGTAGGCAGAGACCACGGACTTCCATTTGACACGATCCTGACATACCTCTTTCGCCTCCTTTACATCCATATATCTACGCATACATGCTCGTCGGTTAAGGGTACTTTTAACGTGGCCCATTTTCAAAATATCGCCAATTTGGTCGATAAACTTTTTTCTAGGGCGTCCCTTCCCGACTCTGCCGTTCACATCTGCCATATAAATTTGCTTTGTCACTCTTTCCTCATTCATTCTTTCTACATGACCAAACCACCGAAGCATTCCTTTCTTAATCCTGGTCACAACATCATCTTGCATACCACATTTATCTCTTATCATGCAATTTCTCATCCTGTCATTCAGATTCAACCCTAGCATACTCCTTAAAGACCGCATTTCTACAGCATTTATTCTACTTTCGTGCTTCTTCTGCCACACCCAGCTTTCACTACCATACATTAAAGTAGGGACTAACACAGCATTATGAATTACCATACGTGCCTTTTTTGATACATTCTGGTTCTTCACAATAGAGTGTAGTGCCCCATTCACTCTATTGTCCCTGCGTTTATTTTTTCTTAATTAAGGAAAAAATATGGAATAAAGGAAAAATAAAAAACCGGCCAAGAGCGTGTCGGGCCACGCTCAGTGTAGGATTCCGTAGTTTTCCGTCCGTCACAATAACTGTTCCATTCCATCCATTATGTTCGCGCTCCAGCAGCGCTCCGCGCTCCTGCAACTGCTCCCGGTAGTGGGTACGTGCGCGAACATGGAGCGTGCAACATTGCACGCTCCGCGACAGGCGATGCCAAGGAGAGACCAACCGAACAATTCGATAATACCCGACCCAATGTAATAAGTACCTACAGCGCCATCTCTCGGGGAATTGGGTTACTAATTAATACATAGACGTGCCAGAAGTTTTCGGTGGTAATTTTGGATAATTTTTTAATAATTCTTTTTTTGTTTGAAAAAAGATACGTTCAGGATAATAAAATATGTAAACGAAGTTAAAAAAAAGCCTGCTTAAACGATTATACTACAAACTTAGTCCAGAAATTATTTTGTACAACTTTTTGTCTTTTTTGTAGAAAAACTGTTTCCATCCAGGTTCAAAATAATTTTCCTAGAAAGTACTTATAAAGTTCTACCTTTCAGATTTTTTTTCATATTTTCTAAACCTATGGTTCAAAAGTTAGAGGGGGGGGACACATTGTTTTTTACTTTTGGAGCGATTATTTCTGAAATTATTGACATTATCAAAAAATGATTTTAGTAAACCCCTATTCATTTTTAAATACCTTTCCAACAATATGTCACACGTAAGGGTTGAAATTAAAAAAAAAATCACTTCCCACTTTACATATAGGGGGGCTACCCTAATAAAACATTTTTTTCCAATTTTTATTTTACCACTTTGTCGGCGTGATTGATACACATATTGGTACCAAATTTCAGCTTTCTAGTGCTAACGGTCACAGAGATTAAGCGAGGACGGACAGACGGACAGACAGACATGGCGAAACTATAAGGGTTCCTAGTTGACTACGGAACCCTAAAAAAGGATTGTTAAAAATGTGTGACAAGGACAAAACACAAAGCATTGTTACAAAAACTAACTAAGCTTTATTAATGCAGTATTTACACAGCAGATTAGTTGTAGTGGACATGCACATACCTGATAAAGTACTTTATAAAAGAACCCTTATGTTCGTTTCAATTAATCTTTAGTATTTTATAAACTTTGTATGTTAATGTTTATTTGTAGATTAGTTGGTCTAAAAAATTTCGCTTGTAATTCTATTTGCCATTGCGAATTTGCTTACTTTAGTTTTATATTATTTTTTTGCGCATGACCGTAGTTGTCCATTAACAATGTTGCCATATTCAATCGACTAATTTATTATATAAGTTTATATTATTATTTACCTATATATTTATTAAATATTATATTTTGACCACCATACCATAGATTGGTTACACTTTAGTAGACGTGCAGATTATCTTGGCCTCTTGATAAATTACTAATACGACATGACTGTTCGTTTTATGTAAATTTATCATTTGTCCTTCCTACTTATTTTTTCTTTTTTTGCTAATTTAAACTCATTAAAACATTGTGTTTTTTTTTACTTTTTTATTTGATCGTTCTTATTAGTGGGAAATGTTTAGACCATTTGTAATATCTTCTTATATTATTAGAATTGTTTCTTTTCCTATCGTATTATATCCACACTGTTATAAACGTATAAGAAATTTTATTATTGATAATATCAAAAGGAGAAAAGCAACAAACTATGTCTCACCGTTTTGACCATTATTAAAAAGTCTACAAACTGTTTAATGGTTTGGATGGATGAATGTTTTTGTGTTTAACATTTACGGCTTTGTATTTTTATTTTGATAATAACAATAACACAATCAATTTGTCTACAACTTTCATACACAAATTTAATACAAAGTTTTTATGAAAATGTCATTAGAGGAATGTTTTAGCTATTTATCTGGCTCGATGGACCAAATTTTCACTTTATTAACTATCACTACATAAATTACGTGAGAGCAACAGCTCTCATTATTAATTCATATAATAATTAAATTTTGAAGTTCAAATATACGTGCTCTATATTTTTTTATTTGCTGCATAAAATTTAAAAAGGCAAGGTTTCTAAAACATAAGCATATTTTTGCGAAATAACTAGATTTGTAATAAGAGGCTGGAGTTCGTTGGAGTTTATGATTATACAAATAAAATAGGTGAACATATATGTATTATTATATCGCGTATGACAATTTCCATACACACGGTCTTACAAAATTTGATATCAACTTCCTTACTTTATATCTGAACTTTTTAATATTAAAATGTTTCTATCAACTTACTGAATTTGATCATGTAAAATGGAAGCTTTTATAAAAGTTTGTCGGTTTGCATGTAAGTTGGTGATGGTTTTGATCACATTGACTGTATTGTTTTTTTCCAGTGTGGTCGTATTATTACATTTGTAATATAGTAATGACAACACGAAGGTGTGGCAAGGGTGGTAGACTTAGTAATTAGTCGGTTTGCTATTTATATAGTCTTAAAATATTGTATCTTATATTAATATTTGTTACCAAGCTCTTTTTGCACCTTCATTAAACATGTAACAAATTTTTTGGACAGTGGTGTCTTTTACAATTTTTTTTTAATTTTCTTTGTTGTTCATGTTTTATTTTTGTTTATTATTAAAGAAACTTCTTTTGTTAGAATTTTTAATTAAATTCTTATAAGGATTAATGAAATTGAATAATAAATCGAATTGATTTTAAAATATAAGAATGTAAAGTGTTATAAACATCTACTGATATAACTTTTTTTTCATAATTTAATATTGCATATGGCTATTGAAGTGAAAGTGCACCACCGTCCCCTATCACCTAACCAGAGCACCGCACCGGGTGATGCTTGGTGCCATGTGTTTTACGTGTCGCTTCTCATTGTCTTCCGCAGCCGAAAACCAACCGCCGAATAACCCACTAATCGACAAGCCCGGGGACAACCCGGGCCGCCTCATAAAACACCATAGAACCGTGTCCTTACCGACCGGCTGCCCCTTATTCCAAGAACCTCTGAGGATAGGTCACGAAAGGACGCATTCCGCCCCCTTAACCGGGGATGAAGTAGATCGGGCGATGCTTGAGAAGGCGGCGATGCACTCGTCGTGCAAAGCCGTCAATGGAACGGATATGTTCACGCCGAAGAAACAATTCTGTCGGCGGGCGAGTACCGGCACAAGGAACTGGAAAACGCAGTCTGGTAACGCGAAGAGTACGTATTGACGTCCGGCTTGAGACAACCAGCATACGCAGTGTACACACACCACTAACCTATGTTGCTCGCTGTACAGGAGTTGGCAGATGTAGTTGTCACTTCCAACACTATCCAATAAAGCTAACATTAACATTTCTATTTATTTACTTTCTTATTCCTTTAAAACATAACTTGGAGTTCTTGATTTTTTTGTTTTTGAATTTAATTGTATAAGTATATTATAATGAAATACTACAAATGTCGAATATCGAAACATTATAAGTTGCTCCCACGTCCTTCCACGTCCTTTGTACATGTTGACTACCCGATGCTGTTACGTGTTATTAAAATAGTGTTTTTTTGATAACTACTACTACTACAATTTGGGATATTACTTAGTAAACTATCTAAAATAACTGGTAATATATTTATATAAGAAACGGTTAACAAACATCCACGTCCACTGTCTGAGTCCACTTATAGATAATTTTAGCCAAAGACACATCTATCCTCGATTAATAATTAAATGCAGATGCGTTGGCACCCTCGAGGATTAAGATTAAAGGTTGTCTTAAGTGTGTCTTCGTATACATAGGATCTACCTCGGTAGACTTTATGTAGATAATTTTATTAGAATGAATTCACTGGTGCGATATTAAGCTGTCAAAATCTACTGTTTAAAGAGAAGGATCCAAGCATAAATATTCTTCGCAAATTATTTTTATTTACTGCTTTATATGGATACTACTTTTATTTATTTAGTATCGCGAGAGAAATTTGATACTACTGAAAGTTGTACTAATAAACTTTTCATTATTAAAGACTAAATGTTGTGACGACAGGAATCATAATATATCACAACTTTTGAAATAATCCAGCAACATGAATGTAATTATATAAGAAAAGTGGCTTTGCACGAGTGATTTCTGGATCTCGACACTCGATCAGCGCCATCTACCGGGTGTAATTGTGAATCAACCATCCAGGGACACACTCAAACACAAATAATTCATCAAAATCATCCATCAGATCCAGAAGTTTAGGAGTTTAGTGACAAACACATATTTTTATAGAATAAAGGTGACAAACGAGCACACAGTCCACCTGATGGTAAGTGGATGCTGTGGCCCATAGACATCTACATGTATCCTCGATTAAAAATTAAAACGCAGATGCGCTGCCAGCCTTGAGAACTAAGATGGAATGCCTCGTTTCCAATAAAAACTCCGGTTCTCTACACGCACCATACAGAACACAGCAGCATTGAGCTGCTATTTTACGCTGGTGTTCTGTAAGAGCGTGGTCCTTCCTCGGTCGAGCCGACCCATTCGTACTACAACCGTAATATAGCTGCAGCATGGCTCTACCATGTCTGAACATATCCAGAAGAATGATATGCTTAAAGATTTTTAGTATTATCAACAATTTTATTTTTATTTTATGTCAATCCTTATATTACTAACAAATTGTTAATTTAATCTGCCAACTCCTAGTTTATGGGGCTCGGTTCAATAATGTCTCAGTCAGATGTTTATTAATTTCTTGCAAACGTTATATCAAAGCTTGATTGAAACAATTTGCATGCGAGTCTTATGTTTTCGTGCTGCTTATTATGTAATACTTATAATGTTTTTATACAGGTGTGCTTAATTTTAATTTTAATTCTTATAACCCTTCAGCAATTACAGTTTAGACGGACGTTGTAAGTCTGCTCTACAAGTAGCATTCTAGATCAGCCAACAATCCGTTACCTTACATTTCTTTTAATTATGTAAGCTTCTTTTAGGGCTTAGCATACAATTGGCTTCAATTTTTGGAATCTACACCTAGCTTTCCTTTAAATTTTTAGTTTTACAAATCCTTGTTATGCTTTATGCTTTGACCTTTCAACTGTTTTTAATCCAATTCTATGTGTATCATTCTTCATTGCTAAATAAAAAAATGTAAACTTGAATTAAATAGTTAAATTAAATTCATTTTTATAATGTCATTAAATTAAATTAACAGATCATTTTTAATATTAAGAAATAGAATATTTGATATCCCAGTTTTAAATTTTCTATTCCATTTATTCTTGTAAAGCTATAATTACGTAAATTACATTCCTTTTTTATAATGACATTATATAAGATGTCATGTTCAATATTAATAAATAAAGTAATTAATATCCAGTTTTAAATTTTGTGTCTCTTGCATTACAGTAAAGCTTTTGAATTATAAAACTTTTCATTTAAATTGAAAGCGGGGGAAGTTACTATTTGTCATTGTTTATAAAAATATATCCGTTGTCCACAGACGCGAGCACGGTACGCAACCGCTGCGACAGTATGCCGTCGCGAGCTTGTGCTTCGTCGTTCGAGAACGATCGACCACCGCTGAGGCACGATCTTTTAGATGGTAATTTTTTTGACATTTCTAGGTATTATAGCTTATATAATAATAATGTCCTTCAGGCCAAATTTCAGTCACAGCGCGCAGCGGCCAGTCTCAACGAATATTAGACATCTGCACAGGACAGGATTATAAGCACAGGTTCACACTATCCCTCACTCTCGTAGTCCGATGGGACGGTATTCCGACACAACCGGAGAGAGATCAGGTGCCGGACCAACAACTTACGTACTTACCGATGCAAATAGGTGAAACACCGCCAACTTCTTGACACTTGGGTGCTACACTAGAATTTGTTGTCGGAAATACCCAATAACTGATTTTGGCCCAACCCGGGATTCGAACCCAGATACAAGGCAGTCAAGTTAGGTGAGCTAACCTAACTTGACTGCCTTGTATCTGGGTTCGAATCCCTTAACATACTTGTTACAAAGATATACAATACATCATGCGGACCATTAATAATTTTAAAATTGATAGAATTCCTAGTGTCCTAACTAGGTTACTTAGTAAACTGCTATTTAATTTATTACTATTAATTTTCATTATATATGTTTATTATTCAAGAACTGGCCAAATATGGAGAGAAGGTTCAGAATAAGTAATATAGGCAAATGTTCAAGAAAAATTAATTAAAAAAAACTAAAGTATTCTATCATTTTTATCATTTAAATTAAACATGCGTTGTAATGCATTATTTTAATAGATTTTACTGCGCACGTTCGTACAGGTCGATCGGTAGGCAAAAACGTTGTTGCTGTGTTTAAACTTAAGTTTAGATTTTGGCTACTCCTTTAAAAATAACCCCGTATTTACTTTTCATGTAGTAAATATTACTAGTTTATCTTTAAATTATTTAATAAATGTTATTTCACCTCCAAAGTAGTGTTCTCTGCTTAGTAATAGTCGGAGGACGTCACATGTATTCGATTGTTTTTTTTTAGTTATCAGACATGCAGGTTTTCCTTCACTGCCGAGTACGTGGTAAATCAGCACTTAATACTGCAATAACAATTTAATTGGAGCTGACGGGGTTCGAACCTGGATTGTTCGCGTGTTATGTTATTATGTGACATTATCTATATAAGTGAAATACCACTGACTCACTCAGACATCACTAAAACTGACTTGAAATTTGGCATATATATTTATTTCTCGACGTAGGACACCCATTAAGGATTTTGGAAAATTCAACCTCTGAGGGGGTGAAATAGGGTGTCTTAGCTTGTGTTCAATAAAGAGTATAAACGGGCGCAGGATTGGATTCGTCGCGGGACGACATCGACTCCGTGTCGGAATGGTACCGGACGCCGCGTATTCCCGAGGAGCCCGACTGCTGTGATATCATTTCCAGGGACTTTATGAAGTGCGTAATATGATCTTTATTTCTTTAAACACAAAAACAAATTTACATTAAACCGAGATTTGTTTTTATTAGATTGTGCTTTTTTTGTAATTTTTTATACGTATCTTTTACGCGATATCTTTGTCAATGACCCGATTTGAATATTCTTTTTTTGTTAAATAGTTTATACTACTGTGGTGTTAAAGATAAGCCTAAGCCTGTGGCATGTGCCCAGCAGTGGGACGTATGTATAAACGTCCCACTGCTGGGCACATGCCACCCCTCATTTATGAGAGAGTATTTAAGGGCAAAGAAGTGTTCGCCGTGCTGCCCCAATATGTGTTCTTCGAAATACTTTTTTCTTATTTTCTGACCTGCAGGTTTCCTTACGATGTTGTCCTTCACCGCCGAGCACGTGGTAAATCAGTACTTAAAATTGCAATTAACAATGTCATTGGTGCCGGCGGCGATCGAACCCGGTTTGCTCTCGTACTGTGAAATTTACAGCGAGCACTAACCACCTGAGCTACCACGGCTCTTAGTACTGTGTAAAAATGTAGCTGTTTAGATGTAACTGAGATTGTGATATTCAATTGATTGATTGTGATTGTAAAAAAATCACTTTGAATAAAAAGTAATTCTCGACTTCAAATAATTAAAAAGACTAAAATAATTTGAGTATCTGGTCGGTCAAGTCGGGGGCTTCACTTCTATTCATTATGGCTTAGCACCGACTTCAGAATGTGACATTATTTTATCGTTTTTAGTTGGTTGAATACGGCTTTTACTTTTCCTCAGGTTTGATTCCTTGCACGGAATAAGTATTTGCTGAACTTACTCAATTATTTGCATGCCATCTACAAATAATTGTTATGAGTTCAGTCTACAAGTAATATATGTAATGTCCTCATGATAAAGGAGTAAATTGTAGTTAGGAGGTAAAATTAAAAAAAAATGGTTTTTGGTTCGGCGTATCTGTGTTTTTACGTGGTAGAGCCATGCTGCAGTTACATTGTGGTTGCAGCACGAATGATTCGGCTCGACCGGAGTAGGACCACGTTCTCACAGAATACCAGCGTAAATTAGCAGCTTAATGCTGCTGTGTTTCGTATGGTCAGTGTAGAAAACCGGAGACCCTTTTACTGGAAACGAGGCACTGCATCTTAGTCCTCAGTTCTGGCAACGCATCTGCATTTTGATTCTAAATTGAAAATAAATGTAGATGTCTATGGGCCACAGCATCCTTTTACCATCAGGTGGATTGTGTGCTTGTTTGTGATCCTTATTCCATAAAAAAGCACTCACGCACGTCGTTGCTATACTTTAAAGTCCTTTTTAACTTGGTATAGCCATGCTGCGGTTATTTTTGTATTATAGTTGTAACACGCATGGTTTGGCTCGACCGGGGAAGGACGACGTTCCACAGAATACCGGCGTCAAATAGCCGCTGAACGTTGCTGTGTTTCGTATGGTGAGTGTAGAGAATCGGAGATCCTTTTTACAGAAAACGAGGTATACGATTTTAGTCCACATCAATGATAAATGTATATGTGTATGTATGGGCTACAGTAAGCATCATCAGGCGGACTGTTTGCTTGGTTGTCACCGTTATCGTATAAACAAAATATACAAATAGTAAAGAGGTGTGTGCGTGTGTGGGTGAGCGCAGCGCGTCCGCGTCGCAGTCCGCGCGTGCGTCGCGCACGTCTTCGCTGTGCGCGTCGTCGGGCTCGGTGGACGAGGGCTACCTGGCCATGGCGCCGGCGCACGCGCGCGATATGCGCGACCAGCGCGAGCCCGCCTCCGCCTCCAGCGGCTCCGTCTGCAGCGGCACCCCTTCCACCGACCCGCGCTTCAGGTTAACTTTTTGTCTATTAAAAAGTGTGTGTGCGTGTGCGTGTACGTACGTGCGTTTATCTGTGTGCGTTATGCGCGTGCGTGCGTGTGTGTGCGTGCATACGTGTGCGTGCGTGCGTAAGCGTGTCAGAGGTCAGAGGTCCGTATCATCAACAAGGAGGTTCTTAAAACCTTGCGAAGTATAGACGTGAATAAAGCCAGTGGACCTGATGGTATACCCGCTATGGTTCTAAAGGTCTGTGCACCTGAGTTGTCTCCTGTGTTGACGCACTTGTTCCGCCTCTCATTCAGGACTGGAATAGTGCCCAAATCTTGGAAGCTGGCCGATGTGCAGCTTGTGCCTAAAAAAGGTAGCCTTGCCGACCTTTTTTTACTTTATGGAAGAAGGGACGAACGAGCATACGGCTCACCTGATGAAAAGTGACTACCGCCGCCCATGATCAACCGCAACACCAGGGGAATTGCAGGTGCGTTGCCGGCCCTTTAGAAAGGAGTAAGCTCTTTTCTTGAAGGTCCCCAGGTTGTATCGGTCCGGAAAAATCGCCGATGGTAAACTATTCCACAAAGAGGTCGTACGCGGAAGAAAACTCCTTGTGAAACGTACAGTGGTGGACCGCCAAGCATCTAAATGGTGTGGATGGTATCGGGACGTTTGCCGCGTAGTGCGTTCACGAAATTTGGCGGCTGGGATTAATCCGAATAATTCCTCAGAGCACTACACGTAGTAAATGAGTTAAAATACGCCAAGAGTCAAGCCGATCGGAAAGAGCTCGGTCGCCGACGATTCGAACGACTTTGCGCTGGATGCGATCATAATATGGAAGGAGCATAGAGGCCAATTTGGCCTTCCCTTCCAAGTGACTATACTTATCTAATATACTATCCTTACAATATAATAATTTATCCTTACAATATATTAAAACTGCATAAAAATTTATCAAGTAATTTAAAAGTACAAACAAATATATAATCGCTGATAAACGTTTAACGGTATAAAATATTTAGAAAGAAAAACAATAGAGGTGTAAATAAATATTTAACGAAAAATCACATTTCATTCCCATTTCGGTAAAACCAGGTAAGGTATGTTTACATAATAAATTATCGATATAAAATAGTAGTGTCAAGTCACTGACTCGCGCTCGTCTCCTGCAGCCTTGTTCTTGGAAATTTACGTACGCTACAATATTGTCTTTTGCCCATACTATAAATCCATCGCTGCTTTTAGCTCGCGTACTCGTAGACATAAACTAGCTTAAGAATCAGTGGATATTGAAATGTGAAATCAGTTACATTTTTGGAGACAATCGTAGTACTGGAGGTGAATAATTTTAAAGTATATTTCATTAAAAACAACATTATTTAAAGCACTAAGTACTTATTTATGAAATGTTATCCCTTTATTTGTAAATTTGCAAGTTGTGGAAATATTCCGCAGTCGGATATGCTTCAAAACACCATTTTTACGCCTCTGCGTTCGAAACAACACTGGTGACCGAAAAAAACGCTCCTCACGTGCTTGTGGCCTATGAGTCACATGTGCGGCTACAAGGTCACGCGCTTTTACGACTTCTATTGTCTTATTATTTAGATTTCTGTGGGCTAAGGCATCAAGGAGAATGACTTGAAACTGAGTAGATACGACGAAGGGGTTCTTTTTAGCGGTAAACGCGCATACTTGTGTCTTCTGGGGATCGAACTGGACTAATTTTAGTCACCCCCAGTCCGTGACTTTATTCAACAAACGATGATAGTACGCAGCCTTGTGGAACACCAGCGTTATTGGGCTTGTAATTGGAGCATGCACCGTCTACTACGACCTTGATGCTCCGATCTGCAAGAAAACTGGTGATCCAATTGCACATCTTCTCGGGAAGCCCTTAGGAGGGAAGCTTCGTAAGAAGCGCTTTCTGCCAAACCCGATCGAAGGTCTTCGTTATCTCCAAACTAAGTGCCATCGTCTCCCCCTTGGACTCCACTGCCTCCGCCCATATATGAGTTAATAAGTAACCCAGAGGATCACCAGCTGAGCGACGCCGACGAAAATTGTACTGGCGGTTACTAATCAGCTGATCAAGGTACCTTATCAGCTGGCATCTTATAATGGATTCCATTATTTTGGAGAACAAGGAGGTGATAGCGATAGGCCTGTAGTTAGACGGATCTGAGCGGTCGCCATTTTTAGAGATCGGGTGCACTAAAGATGTCTTCCATGATTTCGGAACTACGCCTAGGGAGTAAGAGTACCGGTAAAGACGCGTTAAAACCTGTGCCAGCTCCGGAGCACACGTCTTCAGCACAATGAAGGGGACATCCCCAGACCCACTTGACTTATTGACGTCCAGGAAGAGGATTGCTCTGCGCACCGAGCGCTGGGTAAACAGCACATCCTGCATGGAGCACTCACACCGCGCGATAGTCGGCGGTGTTTTCCCCGTCATCAAGAGTCGAGTTGGACACAAAGAGAGAGCCCACCAGATCGTCTTTGTCCTTTGCGGTATTAGCCAGTTAGTCATCTTCCGCGTACAGAGATGGAAGAGATGGCTGACAGAAGTTTTCTTGGACAGCTTTGGCGATAGACGGTCTAGTTTCTTGAAGTCAAACTAGTTTCTCGCCAATTCTTGCCGATGTGCTCTGACTTTGCCTTGGCAATGACACTTTTGTAGGATCTGGAGGCGGAATTATACTTCTTTTTAAAAGTGCTGGTATTTGCATCCCGTGACATTAATGCGTGAGCCCAGGCGTGGTAGCACTTTTGCTTATGGCGTAATGCAATTTTGCAGGAGCGACCAAATCGCGGCTGGGTTCTGCCTTCGATAGTTACCACAGATGATGGAATAAAAAGTTCCATTCCCTGTAGCTCCACATCAATGAGAGAATCAGCAACAACGCTGAGATCAACCGGCAAGAAGCAAACCCGCCCCCAAGGGAAGCATCCAAAAAAAAGATCGCATTCCGTCCCAATCGGCTGACCTATAATGCCAAATACGCATCGACGGAGATCTGATATCTGTCTGGATGAGAGGTCAATAGAAGATCCAACAGGAAAAGTACATGATCTTTTACATGTGGGATCCGCGTAGGCGAGGTATTCAATTGTATTAGACCATATGCTAAAGCAGTCTTAAACAGATCTACCCGCATGGTCGGTTAAACGGGAACCTAGCTATTCAGCGTGGTGGGTGTTAAAATCACCAACCATTACGATTTCTGTGGATGGGACCTGTTGTAGCACGGAGTCCTCAACCATTTTGACATACACGCAAACTCAAGTCCGGTACGATACACGGAACTTTAGTAACCGATCATTAAAACGTGAGGAGTTAATGCACTCGTTTCGCTCGTGCGCTAATTTCACATGCTTCAATAATCGGCTACTTAAGTCCCTTGTATACATAATGTACCATTTTCACGCGAATCTTAGTGTTAGTTTATATAGTGAATTTTTACAACAAAACTGCTAATATTTGTGATTCTATGTTTTATCTTATGTTTACCCCTTATTAATAGTTAAAAAATTCCATTTCCTTCTGAATGAACGACTTGAAGCGAATGATTATAGTTTTCAGGAATCACACTAGACGCAAAGCTTCAATGGCTCCCCCATATATCAAAACTAGCTAGCAGACTTAGTTCTGCAGCATATGCTGTAAAAAAGATTAGAACTCTTACCAGTGTTGAAACAGCAAGAATAGTTTACTTTAGTTATTTCCATAGCATTATGTCGTATGGTATTTTGCTATGGGGACACGCGACTGACACTGAAATTATATTTATTTTACAGAAGAGAGCCATTAGAGCAATTTATAATTTAAAACCAAAAGAGTCACTGAGACAAAAATTTAAGGAAATTAATATATTAACTCTGGCCTCTCAATATATTTATGAAAATGTAATGTACGTACACAAGAATAAACGTAGTTTTGCAAAAATAAGTGATATTCATTCTGTAAATACTAGGAACAGACACAAGCTAGTAGTACCAGTTACTCGACTCCACCGAGTCAGTAATTCATTCTTGGGGCGATGTATACGCTTTTACAACAAAATCCCAGAAAATATACAAAATTTGTCATACGCAAAAATTTTATTAATCTAAGTTTGAATAAAAACGGTTATTATAATATTAAGGAATTTATGGATGATAATAATCCCTGGGAAGGGTGATCGCTACCAAGCTATTTCTAATTTGTCTTGTGTTGTTAGTTGTAAACATGATTGTAAGCTATTATTTGGAAAAAAAAATAGTCCCGCTGGGTTTCTTGCTGGTTCTTCCCAGCACAGGTTTTTTTGCGAACCAGTGGTAAATGAAAAAATTGACTTTCAATAAGTATTGTTTATAATCTACATTGAATAAAAAAGTTTCTGTTTCTGTTTTCTAATATAAAACCATGGCATACTAGTAATTGTTGTGCATTTTTTTATAGAAATTGCCTCTACTATATACTTTTTTAGTGTACTCTACAGTCTTGAAGGGTATAAAGAGCATATATAATTACAAGTTGTGAGCCATTCCATCTTGGTTCCTATTGATGGTTTTCGTGTAGATAATCTACAGTAGTCACTTACTATCAGGTGGACAGTTGATTTCGTTTGATATTTTAATTTTATAAAGCAATAATGTTTGATAGTATTGCATTAATGAATAATTATGTGTGATGGCAAGCATTGCGTGTACATGACCGCTCATGACCCCACTGAATTGAACCTTAGGTGAGAGGTAAGATAATAGACTTCGGTGAATTCGATGAAGCTGCCGCTATACGCGTTTTAAATTGAGCGAGCGCTTTTTTGGTCACACTGGCTTACCTAAATAAAGGTTATTTTATGATTTTTTTAAGTAAATTTATTTCGTCTGACCTGCTGGTATTACTTTAATTTTTAAATAATACTTATATAGTGTGTAGAGTATGATATGTCATTCGTCTTCCTGTAGTATAGACACGTGTTGTTGTCCGCAGCGAGTACCAGCTGGAGCCGGCGACGGCGCACATCGCGGAGGAGCGGTCGGCGCGAGCGTACAGCGTGGGTTCGCGGCCGGCGGGGGCGGGCGGCGCGGGCGGGGCGGGCGGCGCGCGCGAGCCGGGCCGCCTGCGCGCCTACAGCGCGGGCGCGCGCCGCCGCCCAACGGCCGCCACGCCCGCGCCCGCGCACTCGCACACGCCGCGGCCCTCCGCCGGTGACTTCCTCGAGCTCGACTTCTCCGCCAACTCACCCGCGCCCAAGGTCAGTTGACTGCGAAAGGTCAATAAACTATGTTGTACGCTCATAGTACCGGCAACTTCCTCAAGCTCGGCTATTCCGCCAAATCGCCCGAGCCCGAGATCAGTCGACAAATCTACCAGGTCCCTTCATACGCATACCCATGCCATACGTTTCATTCAAATCATTCATACCCAATAAACTTGGCTACAGGTTACCAGTAGACACAAAATAGAAGAAGACTCCTTGTTAGTCACCTGCTCTAACAATCTTTTCAAAGACAAAGACGTTTCATCATTCTTTATGAACTAAGTATAGATCATAGAATAGTTATGTATAAATGTGATAGTTAAGCAAAGGTAAAGTATTTATATTAGTTGGGGGTATTTATAGAGTATTCTCATCTGGTTGGGCTGAAGAAATATATAAAAGAAAATGATAAATATACATAAATAAATAAAAGACCAACCAGATGGAAGCCCTCGGCAGGGGAGACCAAACGGCCGAGGGTTAGGGGGAAAGGGAAAGAAACCGGCGAACGATGCGGGCGGTATCGAGTAGCACCGTTTGAGCCCGGAGCGGTCCGTCACGGAGTCCCAGCCGCCTCAGATGACCCGAGAGGCTGACTGGGATTAACCCGTTAGCGGTAACGACTACAGGAATATTTTCGGTCGACAGCCCACCCCACATGTCGGTCACCTCGTGAGCCAGGTCCGGATATTGTGATTGCTTATCTGTTTCGGTTTTCACGAGGTTCTCGTCATACGGAATGGTAATGTCGACCAAAAATGTCCTTGAATGTGCCCGGTCCATCAGCACAATATCAGGCTTATTCGCAAGAATAGTTCTGTCGGATGATGACCTGGTCCCAGTAGAGCCTGGCGCGATCAGTTTCGAGCACGGCTTCCGACAAGTACTTAGAATACGGCAATTTACGGTACACGAGACCGTATTTCAGAGCGAGTTCCTGGTGAAGAATTCTGGCTACTAAGTTGTGCCGGTACAAGCACTCAGAACTAAATTCAGAAGTAATGTTTAGCAATTCCACAAGATGGGAGCGACTGGAGGCTTATAACTTGAGCTCATCCATATAGAAAAGGTGGGTCACTTTTGTACCTCTTTTCCGAAGATGAAATCCCCTCCCGGAGCCCTCCAGTAAATCAGTGAGAGGGTGCAGGAACTCAGACAATCGCCCTGGAAGATACCCCTTCTTATTCTTATGCGGCTTTCTGCAGCCGTGATCCGCTCACCCAGATGACAAAGGATCGTACTCCACTGCCCCATACGTTGCTACTTCACCGAAAATACTAAACAACTTTACAAAACTACTAAGAAAAGCAGGAACATCTATTACAAAAACTACGTGAACCAAAATCTGACTTTACCGATATGCTGGAGGATAGCTCCGATGAAACTTCGTCTTTAAATTCGCTACTGGAGATACAAATGTAAAACTTTAAAGCTCTCGAACATGCTTTGTCAAAAATTGACCTCAAAACTATCACCAAGAAGTGGGAGCTTCAAGATCATCTTTTCATACATTCTATTCTATCCTACATTGGGAATTAGAAGCTAAGTACAAAGGCTCTAACGTCAAATACTATAACATATTTGTCGAGATGGAAGACGAGTATGATGAAATTCGACGAATTTTAAAGTCGAGAATCTGGTCAACTGTTCATTACGAAACATCTGCGCCAAAAATGGAAACTCCTGAATTTTCAGGGAACCATACTCAATGGGTTTCATTCAAAGTCCTCTTCATGGAAGCTATTCATAACAATCCAATGATATATATTGCGCAACAGATGCAACAACTCAAGTCTAAGCTGAGGGGTGGGCCTGAGCGCGTAGTGCAGCATCTCAGTATCAGTGCAGACAACTATAACTCTTGCTGGGATATACTAACGCCACGCTATGGGAACCGAAGCCTTGAGTTCACATCTTTCATCAACATATTGCTCAACCTGCCTGTCATACAAAATTCCGACAGCTACAACCTATAAAAGACGCGTCATGCAACTTTTTTAGGTTGTAGACATTTTTTAAGGTCTTTGTTAGGTTGTCATCACGGAATGTTTGAATGGAATCACAATAGAACTAGCTATGTTAAATATTGTAAGTTTTGTTTTAGGAAAGTCGAGGGGAGGATGGATGTATGTAAATTTATTGACTCCGTGGACTGCAACAAGTCACCAGGTATTGACGGTATATGGGTATGGGACTTAAAATTAGTAAAATAGTATGTCAGTCCTATTTTAGCTTCATTAATAAATAATTGCATCTACGAAGGTATTTATCTTGATCATTTGAAGACTGCTTCAGAATTTCAATTTGGGTTTAGATTAAATAAAAGTACAATGACGGCTTTGACAGCATTTTTAGATGATGTAAACAACTCGTTAAATAATAAAAATATCGTAGTAGCTCTATTTATAGATTTTAAAAATGCTTTGGAACATGAATGCTTGTTGCAGGCCATGGATCAATGTGGAATATAAGGTCTAGTGAAAACATGGTTCAAAAAATATTTAGAAAATAGAAATATTGTTGTTCGTGTAAATGGAGTGGATAGTAGGATAGGAAAAGTACAATTTGGTGTGCCGACTGGCTCTGTGTTTGGCCCGATCGGATATATAATGCACGTCAACAGCATGGTTAATGTTATCAAGAATTGTAAAATATATATGTATGCTGACGATACCTGCCTCGTGTATAGTGGAAAAAATAGTTGCCAGATTACAGTTAAAAGTACAGCAGGATTTAAATAATAAAGTGGTCCCACGACAATATTATTATCATAAACTTGAATAAAACCAAAGGAGATGTTTGATTTTGGGCTACCACTATGTACACTACATAGATAAATAGGAAAAAAATTGAGTAATTTCATAAAAATACTTACAAATTAATTTGAAGAAGGGTACAGGCGTACAAAATGATCATTTGAAAAGTTTTTTTATAGGATAACCCTATTTCGAGGGCAGCCATGACAGTTGTGTTTTATGACGTTTGACGACTTTGACAGTTTTAAGAAGTGACGTCTTTGAGTATTGCTTTGCTTTGGGTTTGAATTGGATGTGTTTCGGAGTTTTTAGTGATTGTTTTTGTTTTACGACCCAGTTTACTATTACGGACATTGATTTGATTGCTTCTCTGTTGACCCCGGCTTTGTTATATGGTTTCTGATTCGCCTGTGATTTGGATTCCGTCGTGTTATTTTACAATAACAAGTTCAGTTTCAGGTATGTCCGCTACCCGTGCATTTACTTGTTTTGTTCAAATGCTATTTCTATGTGATGATTTCTTCCTTTGTTCCATATTCTAATAGATTTTAACTCATACTTATTTCAGTTTATTGACAATGGCATGCCTCCAGTGCACTTCTGTAATAGATGAAAATGAACAATATTATGCTACCGATGATATGGGTCCTGAAATAATTTCGGTCATCGAGCGGTATCTTGGCCATCTGGTAAAAAACATTTTATTTATCTATTTACTGTAACATATTTTTAAACACTGTATAACCTCTTTTTTTGTTTTGTTTTGTTTTAGGTTGATGGAAATGAAGTGATGTGCTCACAATGCTTTGGCATCATAATGCAAGAGGTATCTAATGGTCTGGCACATGGAGATCACGAACTCCAACATTGCCATGATAGCAATGTTTGTGTTAGGTGTAGGACATCTTTGTTTAAGAGGCGTGCACACTCTATTCCCGAGGGTGCCGAAAGGCAATATATTGCTGAAACAATTGCTCCAAGAGAGGTAAGCACCTCTTTTGTTTTCTTTTTTATTCATACAGGCAGTCAAATGCAGATGTTCCTTAATTATGGTCTAAGACAATATTATTGCAGGAAGAAACAGAACAGTCACAATTTAATTTTTGGAAATGTGTGTAGATATGTAACTTATAACATCACCTTGGTTGAGTCTGTGAAGGTGATGTTAAAATAACTAAATCTTGATTTATTAAAATGATTTAGAAATGTTGTGATTTAAATTATTTAGAAATGTTTTGATTTAAATTAATAAATATTAATTTCATATTTTTTGTTTTAGATACCCGAGGGTGGTTTAATATGTTTTGCTTGTTGGGTACATACTCGGCGTACAATACAACAACAAGGAATCATAGCAGCTCCTGCTGTTATGAATATGAATGCATGTGTATGGTGCCGACGGTCTCTTGCCCAAACACGCAGCCACTCCATACCTGAAGGACCTGAACGGACCATAATAACACAAACGATATATCCAAGAGAGGTAACATTAACAACTTACTTAATTACCTACTGTTGGAATTAAATAATTGGGTTAATAGTCAATACATATTGTTTTCTTTTGTTTAATTCAGATTCCACCAGGAGGACTGGTTTGCTATGCTTGTTGGGTAGCAGCACGTAGAAATGTGGAGCATGCTACAAGGGTTGAGGATAACCGGCAAGGCCCATCTAATCTTCACCAAGACTCTATGTGTGCATGGTGTAGAATGTCGCTACACCGAAGGCGAACACATGTGGCTAGTGGTCCTGTGAGAGATGAAGTTGCAGCAAGAATTTACCCCAATGAGGTAAAATTATTTTAATTTACTAAACCACCATACACAAGTAATGTAACTTTGCATTTAACTGTAAGTAACCCTTTCTGTTGCTCCTGTAAGTAAATTGTTTCTTGTATTGTTTCAGTTACCAGAACATGCGCTACTTTGTTCCAACTGCTGGACACGTGCACACGAAAATATAGAAATGGAGCAAGAAGTTGTGCAATTTGATATCCAGCCACCAAGTGCATCAATAACACTTGATGGTTTTACACACACAACACAGACAAGTACTCATTGTTTTGTGCCGGCCTGTAACAATGTAGAACGAAATAGAGTGCCGGAATACTTAAGAAGAATTATATTAAAATCGGAAAAAATATTTGTGACAGAAAATGCAAGAGTATGTAATGAACATAAATGTTTATACAACTGGGAGTTTCTGGACCAGCATCAGTTCTCAAATACATTTACAAAAAATGAAATAGAGTCAATGCTGAAGCTGAGTATCCAGGACAATGAAATAAATCAACTAGATTTTAATAATATGAGTAGTATTGATGAGGGACTCTTTAAGTTCTGGACTGGAATTACAAAAGACAATTTTATAAATATTTTAAATGTAATAAGCCCAGCATTGACTTGCAAAAACCAAAAAATTGCTTTGGGAATCTATTTGGTGAAAGCTCGTACAGGGGACTCCCATGAAAGGATTGCCTCTCTGTTTCATCTGACCAAGTCCTCAATAACACGATTGCTTAGAGTAGCTAAAGAGGCATTGCTAAGGTTATTTGTGCCTCTCCACTTAGGAATCAATCATACAAGAAATGATTTAATAAATAGGAATTTATTAATACCCGAGGGTTTGTTTGGAAACAGAGAGGCAAGAGTACCAATAATAATATTTGATGGTACCTATATATACCTTCAAAAATCATCCAACTATATGTTCCAAAAAAAACTTATAGCTTGCACAAATATAGAAACCTTGTTAAACCTTTTCTCATTGTTGCCACTGATGGTTATATTATTGATATTTTGGGGCCCTATCCAGCAACCAAATCAGATGCTGACATCATGAAAGCTTTGTTCCAAAATGAAAATGAGGGTCTAAGGGCTTTTTTTCAGCCCAATGATGTTTTCATTTTGGATCGAGGCTTTCGTGATTCCATTCCAATGCTAGAGGGGTTGGGCTTCAAAGTATTTAAACCGGAGTCATTAGAACAAGGAGAGACTCAGTTATCAACCATCAGTGCAAACAAGACAAGATGTGTGACACTATGCAGATGGGTGGTAGAAGTAGTTAATGGCCGATTTAAAAGAGACTTTAAGCTATTGAGACACGAATATTTTAATTTGGCTGCCACCCATTTGATGGACGATGTTCGTATTTGTGCAGCTATAATTAATGCATTCCATCCAGTGATTGAAAATAGACCAGATGCTGATGCTATACTTACTCGAGCAATACAGAGAAAAAATATGCCCAACCGGTTAGCAGAACTTATAATTGCTAACCGGATCAACCGCTTTAGAGCCCAATTCACAAGAATTGATGGTCAACTTCCAGAGTTAAGTATTTTCCCTGAAATGACTATGTCTGACTTGATACTTTTTGGGCTGGGTACCTATCAAATAAAACAGGCTAGAAGCTATTTCGGGGAACATATTAGGCAGCATGGATCATTTCAGGTAGAAGTATCTGACCAACTGGAAGTAGTAGCAGAAGCAACCCCATCCCAACTTGATCCTCTTTTAATCAGAGGCCGTATAAAATCTCGACATAGCTCAGGACGAACATATTATACATATATTTTGCTGTCAAAGGAAGGATCAAGTTGGGATGATAAAATAATTAGCTATTATTGTAGTTGTATCTCCGGACAACGAACAGTGGGTTGCTGTGCTCACATTATGACCATTGTGTGGTATTTGGGTTGGGCTCGGTACCAAGAGAGCATAGAAGCACCGGCGTCATTCCTGGATGGAATATTAATAATGGATGATGTAGAAAATTAATAAAATTAAAAGTCTCAACAAGTTGTTTTATTTGTATACCTCATGACTTATTTCTCATGCTATTAATGTCTCTAATACTAGGAATCATATAACATAGAACTTGTTTGAAAAATTGTTAGTGTTTAATTGGGCACTAGGCCCGCATGTTGGATTACAGTCCACTCTCACAGAAAGTAGTTATATGTCTCAGCGGTAGAAACATTATAGGCTGATTATGCTGCTGCTACCTAATTGGATAAGAATAGTTGATTTCTTCCCATCTGTTACTGTGTAATAGGTATAGTTATCTACTTTAACTATAACTTGCAGTCATCAGGTACTGTACAGCTAACTGCTCTCCTATGAATTATTGAAGTACAGAGTATATTTATAGGCACTAAAGTAAAAAACTAAACGAAGCAGCAGGAAAGTGTTGTAAATAAAATAACGTTCAAGCCTTTGTTTCGTTTCTTGCTCCTCTTGACACCGATATAACCAATCTGTAACTACTCGAATAGGTGATATAAAATGTGGTGCCGCAATCGAGAAGAATATCCTGTAGTCTTATTTTATCGAAATCCCAGATTTTTGAAATTCGTGTTGTTTTTTTTTATTGCAGATATTACGAATTACTATACACGTCAATCAAATGTCACTGTCAATATGACATTTTTCGCGTACTGCTGTTCCGATCCACCTGGATCCACCATGTTTAATTTTATGTTGTGTTGCTCTCCTTGACCAAGTTAATTTGAATGTACAATGAAACGCAGTGAAATTAAAGAAAACTAACAATAAAAAACGGTTACTATATTATACAGCAATATTCACATATAGTGTACATAGTGCTGGCCCAGGCTCCATACATTTATGGAACATCTCCTTTATGGTAATATCATCATCCTATAACTTTTGTAGAAAAACGGTAGATATAGCTCTTATGGGTCACAGTTACGATTGCCTGCATACTGATCAGTTCAGCCCTCTGCCGCTGCGAAAAGCTACAATGTGTAACGAACTATAAATATTTAGGGCTGATTATTTGTAAATAATCGTCTCTCGTGGGACTTGCATGTTGAATTAATGTGTAACAGGCTTAGGCCAGTTTTAGGTAAACTGAATCATATAAAATATGTTGTGAACCGAGGAATCTTGTATATGCTGCGAGGAATCATATATATGCTGCGAGGAATCATGTATATGCTGCCCTGGCAGACGCAACGATCGGATATGGCTTAGGTGCATATGGACTTACATTCCCAACTTTTCTTAACAAAATAAAGTCTATACAGATAAGATTATTACAGATAAGATATTAGTTGATCCTAAAACGAAAAATGCTCTGGATAAAAATTATGAAACATTATTTAAATTTTTCAAAATTATTCCCATAGACATGAAAGTTTTAAGCATTTAAGCAACTAACTCAACCTCATCTACTTCCATTTCGATCCCAAGGGGTCGACATCGACCACTTTGGGAATCCCTGATTTAGATAGTAAAATGTTGGAGGTAGACGTAGATATCAAAGGGAACAAACAAAGAGCAATTAATACCCCAATTGTTTTACACATATCAAACTCTTTCATAAAATATAATGGTATTGTTTCATAAAATTACATAGAGCTTATTAAGATTATATTATTATTTAGATTTAAGTTACTAAATATTTTTACCTTTTTAGGTGATCGTGCCACGAACACCGCCTACGATCGGATTCATGGAGTCGAAAAGAAATACCGATGAATACGTCGATATGTCACCTCGAAACGCCGGCTACGTGGAGATGAGGCCGGGAGAGCCGCCTGCGTTGCAACCACCCGCCTCCAACACGAGCACACCTGACGGCTACGTGGAGATGAGCTACGGCCGGCCCGCTTCGACCCCTTCAGAGTCTCACGAAACGTCCTCACAAATGTCCCAAAATATTCAAAATTCACACTCACACAGTTCCCAAAACCATGTACAAAACTCCCAAAACTCACACAGTTCCCACAACTCTCACAGTTCCCACAACTCTCACAGCTCCCATAACTCCCATAACTCCCACAGTTCACAAAACTCCCATCACGCGTTGTCGACGGTTCGGGAGATATCAGAAGATGGAAGGCGAAGCCCGGATTCTTCACAGTACGTGACGTTGACACAGTCTCCCTCGCCAGAACAGAGGGACGAAGGAAAGTTAAAAGCGATCGACACGCCTGACATTAAAGGTAAGTTCGGAATAAGAATCAGGCAAATTATATTCTCGTGTAGTAGCGGTGTAAGAATATGCACTACCCCATGTCGCCCTGTGGGTGTCATGCTGATGCGACGAATAATAAAAAACTGCGGTTGCTACTTCTGCTTGCCAAGCGTGGCAACTATGGCAAAAGCATCCCATTGAGGCAATCTATGGGAGAGGGCTATGTTCAGCAGTAGGCTTTTATAGGTTGTAATGGATGTACGAATGGAAATAGTATTAAAAATGAAAAAAATTATTTCGCAAGTCTCGCGTGCAAAAATGTAATTGTGTGCATTACCAAATGCATAGAATAAAAATAAAATTGGGTTTACTACCAAGTTCACCCCTGAATGTCAATTTTCTTAATACGCCCCTAATTAAAATTATTATTTTATTTATTTTAAGGAAAATACAACAAAATGCTATATTCAAAGATTTCGCATATCCTACACAACGAACTTGGAAGTAAGTGCGTTGTGCGCATTAAAATGTCGGTTTTATTATATACTCTTATCTATACTTTAGGAAAAACATAATCGTTAATATAATATGACACGTCTTTCGCCTCTAAACAAGGCATCAACAGAATAAATTCAATATTTACAATGCCTGTATTAGTTTTCGTCTTACCAAATCCGCACTAGCGTGATACCCCTCATCAACATTAAAAGCAAAAATAACTATCAATTTACGTTACGGCGTGTTCATTAGATAGCTGGCAACCAATATATTTTAGCCCACAGACGTAACCAAACACATACATATAACATATTATTAAAATTACTGACAATATTCGTATAACGTAAATAATAACTGATCTAAACTCAAGAAATTCATTAATAGAATAGAAATATTGAAGTTATTAAGAATTACTACGCTCATATCCGCTTTAATGCACTTAAATGATGTGTCTTACCTAGTTTGAAGAGCACCTCCCTCAATTGCGAGCACTATCGACGTCACCACTAATCTCAGCTCCACACTACTCCCAACACTACTACACTGGCACGCGGACGTAAGGTATATTTTGATTTAATACGCGCATAGATTTTTTTCGACCCCGTTCGAAGCCGAAGTTAGAAGTACAATACATGTTTGATGTTTCTTTTTTATAGGAGAGGGGGTAAACGAGCATACGGCTCACCTGATGGAAAGTGATTACCGCTGCCCATTAACAACTGCAACACCAGGGGAATCACAGATGCGTTGCCAGCCTTTTAAAAAGGAGTAGACTCTTTTTTTGAAGGTCCCTAAGTCGTATCGGTCCGGAAAAATCTCTGTTGGTAGTCGATTCCACAAGGAAGTTGTGCGAGGAAGAAAACTTCTTTTAAATCGCACAGTGGTGGACCGCCAGTCATCCAGATGGTATGGATGGTATCGCGAGTTTTGTCGCGATGTGCGATGGTGAAATTGTGCGGCTGGAATTAGTACGAACAATTCCTCAGAGCATTACCCGTGGTAAATGCGATAAAATACGCAAAGAGATGAATTAAAATTAGTTAAGACTGATAGTAAAAATCACTTGACCAGGAGTATTTAGCAAAATAGTGTTTGATGTGGTGATCCAAGGGCTACTCCGGCACACCTCAAGCTACTGAAAAAACCGCGGACGTCAAGTTAATTCTCACGGGCTCAGGAAAAACTAATTTAGGCTAGGAAAAACTAGTTTTAGTAGTCAGTCAATTTTGGCCGGTAACAAAGTGTTTTTGACTCTTCGCAGTGCCATTGATTCAAGTCGATCGGAAAGAGCTCGGTTAAAATGTTATGCAATGTGTGTTCAATGTGAGGAAGGTTAATATGCAACATAAATTAAGATTATAACAACGTGAAGGTTTTTGAAACTCAGATAATTTACCTACTTATCATTTTCTGTTTTATAGTTTTTTGGCAGTTTTCAGGCAATGGGAAGTGCTATTCTTTATATTAGATCTTGCATTATTAGTAGGTAGTAACTAGTAGTCTACTTACACTGAACGCTTATTTGAGGATATTAATTGACATTATACGCGAAAAATCGAAAACTGCGAAGCTATAGTCGGGTATCTAGTTAAATAATTATCTAGATATACCTATAAATAATAATATCTTAACTTTCGATATCCTTAGGAACAGTAAGGAATGAAATGTCGACATTCCTCTTGTTATTTAAGCACCGGTATGCTATGCAGTACCATTTGGCTTTTGAGTGGCCAAACTCGAATGAAAACTCAAACATAAATATCAATATAAAGAGAAAAATACTTTTTTGTTAACGTGTCAGTCTCTTGTAGGCGGCCGTACAGCGTTTTTTCATGCCGAAAGCGCGGATTGAGATGGCCTGGTGTTAAGTAGAATATACATATAAAAGTAGTTTCGCTCTTGTGAAATTCTTAATTTCAGATGAACCGAGTACATACTTATATTTTTTATATATTTCGTCAAATAAAAGTAGATAATAGAGAATAGTAATAATTGTCTGAGTAAATTATGATGATAATTCACAGGGAGTACGAAATAATGACAAGTATGTAAACGTCGATACGAATACACACAAACAATCTTTTGATACGCGCTAAAAAACCGACATCAAGTAGAGAACAGGCGAGTACTCGAACCGTGTAGCGAGCACACCCAAAAAAGGCGTTAACATGTTCGTACTCTTATTATGCGTCTCGTAGAGTATATAAACGTTCTATAAGAGATAAAAGAGACAGAATAAAGTAGATACAAAATATTTTGATGATGCCCCGTTTAGAGACATTGTCGATGGGGTGTTTATTATTCGGTGTAGAAAAACAACAAGTGCTCAAATTAGGTAACTCACACTGTCTAATATTTCGTATGTGAAAGGTTTACCTGTCGCTTCCCTAGATGGCGTTAGGATCAAATTAGATAGCGCTATTGTTGTGTTACTGAGCAAACCATATATGTATTTTGGAATTTTTGTTGTTGAAAAATTTTCTTCGTGAACAGTTGAGTGTTTTCTTGGGTGTTCTCGTCTTCTGACCTTAAAATTCTGTACACACACCATTTAATTTTTGCACGCGGTCTTAGCTGATTTTCTCATATTACATTTATCAGTTACTTGAAGGTTTGTTAAATCGCTTTAATTTTAAATATTAATATCAACAGAGGCGAACAGCACGGTGGCGGGAAGCCCGGGGGGTGCGTTACATTACGCGGCGTTGGACTTGGAACCACGACGCGCTCCAGCGGTTCCCGCGCCAAGACTCTACACCCAGATCGACTTCTTACGCAGCGAGCAACTTCACCCGCATGCCACCTAGCCACCGCGTCTCTACTCGCAGATCGACTTCCTGCGCAGCGAGCAACTGCACCCGCACGCCAATTAGACACCGCGTCTATACTTGCAGATAGACTTCTTGCGCATAAGCAACTGCACCCACACGCCACCTAGACGCCGCACCTCTACTTGCAATTCGACTTCCTGTGTAGTGAGCAATTGCACCCGCACGCCACCTAGACGCCGCGCGTCTACTCGCCGATCGACTTTCTGCGCAGCAAGTAACTGCATCCGCACGCCACCTAATGGCCGCGACACCTACTCAAAGATCGACTTCCTGCGCGGCGAGCAACTGCACCCGTGCAGCTACCTAGACGCCGCGCCTCTACTCACAGATCGACTTCCTGCGGCAAATCCTCCACGGGAACAGTTCTCGCTTCAACAGACGCTATCTTGACTTCGATTGGACTATTGCAGGTGGCTTGTAACAATTTAAACTTAGTTCTTGTATTATTGGAATTTTTTTGGTAAAAATAGCTGCTAGGTAGTGTTCAATTATTACTAAATTGACTATTGGAATGCAGCGACCCACTAGCTAGCTAAAACGTGGATATGGAAATAGGGCTTAAATATTAATTTGCTTCCGAAATTGAACAATGGAATGAGATAACTGGATTCAGGATTGCACCTTACCCGTCCTTCTTAATTAGTCCTAGTTTATTAAAGATGGACAATTCGATGTGAAAACGGAATTCGTTTGAAACTTTGAAATGAATAAGTTAAGAGTATGGTGTCCGAATCGCTGTTTGAATTCAGTTAAGCACGCTTGGAGGTAACTGAGAGTTTTTTTTATAGTGTATGAGACATAATAAATGTGCTGAGGCGAGTTTTTTATTACAGCTCCGAGAAAACATCAAGTTTCTTCTTATCTGTACTTTCTGTAATCACTTGATTAGCTAGTCAATTAGTTATTTCTTCTAAAATGCTAATGCTATTCGCAAAATTAATTTTTTTCGTAAAAAGCGCCTTTGTCACGTCGAATTAAGTCTCAATATCTCTTGCTTCTAAAGTTATACTGTAATAATAATAATTATAGTAATTATTAAATTTATTGTATCGTGTTATATTATCTTCAAAAGAATTTTAGATAAATTTGTTCTGCTCTTTAACTGTATCTGTAATCAATTGCAAGCACTCGCCATCTATTGACCTCAATTAGCACTTAGAGTAACGCTAAACACCTGTTTTATCTTTTATTGGTATAATATCATTGTATGCGGTTACTAAATCTTATATTTTAAAAATCATTTTTTGGACGAAAATGCTTGATATTAGGTTAAACTTTCGTAATTATAAATATTTATTTACCCCTAGCAATTAAATATTATAAAATTGTCTTTAAAAACAAATCATGCTGTATATAACTTAGTACAATCACGGTGAAAATTGCAAAAGATATTTAAAATAAATTTACAAAAAAAAACTAAAATAAAATTGTCAGCAAAATATTGGTGACCGGACAGAACTGCGTGTGGCGATATTAAATAAAAATATATGTATAAAGTATGTAAGTATAATATAATTCACATAAATGCAACGGTTGTGAGAGAGGCCTAATGTAGTTCAACTCAGATTCGTCTTTACGTTCCCTAATATTGTACTGACCTGTTGTGTTCTTAAGATACCGTTCAATAAACTACTGTGCAATCGTTTACATGTTTAAGAAATAGTGAAAGTTATTTCTACACTGTTATCGTTTAATCTATGACTCACCTTGACTGTTCCTTTCAGTGGTTGCTGTTTAATGTTTTTGCGCTCTTTGTTGACTAAATGCACTTTTAAAGTAACGGTACTTTAGAAAATCTTTTCCACTATTTATGTGTCTATAATATTTATTGTTTTGAAATGTCTATTATATTATATACAAAATCTGTTTTTTTTTTACTTGAATGAGGAACAATAAAAATATTTATTAAATCATGAATGGAACAGTTAATTAGGTAATCGTATTAAGAGAGGATTTATATGTCAAATCTTTATTTTCATTGCGCAAATTTTGTATTAAACACTGTTGAACATTTATAGTCGAGCATCAAAAAATATTTATAAATCCGAGCTTGATCTTTCTTTGAATAAAATTAATGGAGGCTATTTTACCACTTTTTTACACACTAAGACTCGCACTTGTAACTATTATATATTCGATCTGGTGTTATGTTATGTATTATTTTTATGTTTCAATTTGATAAATTATTTGTAAATATTTATTTATTAACTTGTTACACTTGACACCGATAATGTTGAAGATTTTATAGTATCGATAATACTATTTTTAATAAATTTGTTGTTAACTGTACCTTCGTATATACAGTATGTTCTTATTTTGGCGTGGACGTCATGTTTTGTTTGATGCAATTGTTAAATGCAATATTTTATGATTTTTTATCATGATAAATTGCCTGAATTGTAAAGAACAAGCTCGGACAATTGTTATTTACAGGAATTATGTGTTCAGAATAAAAATAAAGGTTTTTTTTGATATTTTTTTAAGCAAAACATAAAAAATGGTAAAATAAAACAATGTATAGTTTTCAAAGTGAAGGCGGAGAAGATTCATAGTTTTATTTATTATCATGTAGTTTTAACTCTTCACGTGAAATATAACTTTGTAAATTAATATTACAGTTCACGGTCGCATGCATTATTCATTCTTGAAATGTAAAATGTATTTACTACCATAAGGTATGATAGTGTAACCGAAGTATAAAAATGACACAGTAAACGAAATTCAGTTTTACTACTTGAGCAAAGAGATTGGTTTTGCTCGATCGGAGATACCATCATACGTTATTAGTTCACTTATGAATAACAATATTATGTATATTGTACAACGTAATTCTTCGGGTTCAATATATAGATAGAATGTAATATAATTGTTATATAGAAATTAATCATTAAATATATCTTGCGGCTGCAGCTAATTCTAGCAGTAAAACAGCACAATGTGAGACAGTGTTGCAATATAAAACTATGCCATTATTAATAATTAATTTTATAAAGCGAAGAGAAGAACTTGAGTTTTTCTTTTGAATTTTTTAAGCTAAAGGAGTAACTACAATTAATTTTTCGTATTTGCCTAAGGGTTTATGAATTCGGCGAAAAAATGCGGCACTATTATTTGTTATATCGATATATTATATAAATAATTAGTCCATAATAACTTATTGAGTAAACAGTAGTTAAGGGACTTGTACGTAAAGTATATCTAGCTCCTACCCTATTTAACCCTAATTTGAGTTTATTATTAGTTTTAGTTGCCGCCGCAAGAGTTCCCGACCCGCCGGAAGTTTTTTTTGTTAATTACATAAGTGCAATTATTGAAACACGGTGCCTCTTGTATTTAGCAAGATAGAAACTACCCCGAGCACCTTTGTATGGCGAAGCGCATGCATCTGTCGGGCTCACCATGTTTACAAAGTAGATCATCACTATCTGGTTGGAAGTTGAATATTTGAATTAAAAAGTTTACGAAAAGTATACGAGCAATTACATCCATAGTGATGCGATGTTAGTAAATAGGTTTTCGATTTTTAGTTTTTGCTCATGGCTAAAGGAACGTTTGCTCGCAGACGGCAATAGAATATTTCATACTAAAAATATCCTACTAATAATATATAGATGTTTAAGTAGTAAATATTTAACGATATTTTTTTTTAATTTAATTTATTTGAAAAAAAAAATTAATGGTAAACCCAAAATTAAGTGAATTAATGTAATTCATAACAACCTTAAGGAATTACTATTATTAACTGGTATATAGGTAGTAGGATATATTTTTAGTGTGAAATATTGTACTGCTGTCTGCGATCTATATTTTCCTGCTAATGCTATATACTTGTTAACAATGTAAATAGTTAATATTTTTATTTATTTATTTAAGAATCATTTTAACAGTAAACCCTAAAATTACTTAAAGAATCATGACTACTTTTCATATATTGAGTGACCTGTCACTTGATTCCTTAACAGGTCGCGTCAACCTACAACTACTGTTGTATAAAAACAATTATTGTTTTTAATAACACAATAACTTATCATCTTTTCATTTAGAGGCCAGGGAAAAATGCTATTAAGTAAATAAAAGTTTGAGGTTATAACAGCTGTCAGATAAGGTCTGTACACTTATTTTTCTTTCCACACCATAGTACAAAATCATTGAAAATAGTATCTAATCTCAAATTAATTAATTATAAAAAATGGTTATTTTGAACATTCGTAAACCATGACGAATGAGCAAGTTTTTCGTAGTCTGAAACGGAACGTGTAAAACACTAATATATTTTGACATGGCTTTTGGGCCTTTGAGCCATTGTTAAACACGTTCCGTCTTCAAAAGTCTATTGAGAATGATAAACAAAGTAACATAACTTTTTTCCTGGCTTTATTTGAAAATTCAATTACGCGATACGAAATAAGAAAAAAAAATATGCAATTTTATAAGATATTTTACATCACTAGACGCGATAGAAAATTTTCAGATCAAGACTGGACATGATTCTTTAATTGATAAAGAATTAAAGGTGTTGAAAAATTGTACCATTTTATGCATCAGAAACAAATCCATAGGCCTTTGTAAATCGATGAGCCGTCAATAAGCTATACGGATGGATGTGTGTGCGACGCCCGGACAATCAAAATGGTTGTTACATTCCGACGTTGAAGCGATTTGACTAGTCTCCGTGTGTTCAACTTCATACAAATTGTGTAATAGATTTAGATTTCATAATAGTATGTGCTTCTCGCCGCACTCGAAACCTAAAGTAGGAGTGATGGGACCTGTAAAAATCAATGCCTGACTGAGTTAACACCAAATTTTATATTAAAAAGTTATTTATTAAATTATCGTGTGTGTACGCGAATGAAGTCTCTGTAAACGTAACGAAAGACTTCTCTTGTCGATTGTACGACACGTTAACAGAATTTTGTAAGCTTTAAAATAATACACCAGAAGTAATCTTCGAAGTCGGTTCATTTGTTAACAAAACGTAGTTGAATTATTGTATATTGGTTAGGAAGGACATTTCTTTTTTTATCTGAAACGCCTTTGAACTTCGACCGTTTCGATTTTACGAACGTCCCGAATATATTCCTGTAAGTTTAAAACTGGGGGCCGTGTTCGGGACGACTCGGTAGTACAATTCGACGTAGCTGTCGTTAACTGTAACAAGCTGTGATACATGGGCAAAGCTATAAGGAGTAAGAAATAGTTCTAAGAAAGGTTATATTCCTTCAATAAATTGTGAAACAAGATGGAGGTGAAAAAACATCGGAAAATTGATTTTGACATGGACGAAACTCAAACAGCTATGCCCATGTATATAGGTGAATTGTTCTCGGGAAGTCCCCTGCATTAGTTTTCAGTTGAGGGGAGTTGACACCTATTTTGAACCTTAGTCC